AGAATCCTTTAATAACCAAGATCTGAAATAATAGAGAAAGCATTAGAATTGATAAAACTGAAATTTAGAAGCAATTACAGATGATTGCTCTGACATTGTTCAAAGTTGTCTCAATCTGCCAGGTACTGATGGCATTCCTTGTCACAGAACCTAAGGAAGGGCATGAAACACAGTTGTTGGTGCTCACAGGTTCTGGACAAACTGCCATCAATCCAAAATACACCAGTATAGAAAAAAGAAGCATCTGCTTCTATGCAGTTTGCAAGTGTTCTAGACCATTTCAGGAGATTCTGACACTAGATTTATGCAGATTTGTGGCAACAATTTTGTCCTCCAAAGGTATACTCCAATAATAATAATAAATGTGACAACAATTGGTGTTGTATTATTATTTCTATCTATAATGATGGTAATTTTTGAGGCATGATAACCTAAATGTCCTAATTCTGAACCCACGGTTCTAACTGAGCAGCAATCACTGGCAGCTGAGCTACCCCACATGGAGACACACCTGACTCTATAAAGCTGCCCTTGGGGGTCTCAGCAAGCTCTAAGGTGTGGAGAAGCAGCTCCCACCTCAGACACACTTGGATAAATCTCTGCTTTTTCTCTGAGGAAAGTGAGGCTTAGTGTGTGAAAAGGACCAAATTTGCTCTACTCAAGATCTCTGCAGCTGAACGAAAACCAAGGAGGATGATAACCATGTGGTCTCAGCTGGGATTGAACAGTTTCTTATGAGAAAGGCAATGCTCTGCTAAATCCACACTCAGAATTGAGACATAATGCATGTGTTCAGGAGAAATGTGGACATTGCAGTTGTTTGAAGATTGTCTTCTTGCTCCTCTGTCATCCGAGAGAAGCAGTAAAATCATGGTTTCTATGTAAAAATGCATGGGCAGAGTGTTGGCCCTGAGACTGCACTTCCCACTTCTCCACCATCAGGGAACCCATAGACCAGGCGCCCAGCTCTGATAGTGACACCCATGACCTGGTTAATGCAAAGACACGTGTCCTGGGAGCTCCTCCAGGCAGTGACTACACACAGTGGAGACACTGAGGCGCGTCTGCTGTTGGGAAAGGGGACAGATCCCTGATGGGCGGGTTTGGCTCAGGGAGGCATCAGTGGCTGTACTAGACTTAGAGTGGATCACAAGGTAATTAGGCGGTTTTATCAGACTTCTCTGAATTTTATGTCTTTGTCATCAGTTCTGCACCCACATCCCACAGTTTCCACAGCCCTCCCAGCCTCCTGTGACATATTCTGCCTCCATTAGTGATGCCCTTAGGGGCATACGAGAATGTTTTGTTCTATTTTTTCTAGTAATGAGCTTTTCCAATCCAGAGGCCTCAGTGGCAGGCAGAGAACCATAAACACAGAGAGGCTCCCAGGACAATGCTTTTGATGCAGAAGAACCACAGACCCCGACAGGAAAGCAGCCCTTGGACTCCACCTGCCCCTGCCCCTGGGCTGCTCCTGTCTTCTGTGGGTGCTGAGCGCCCCCTGCAGCCAAGCCGCCTCCTGTGTCCTGCGGGGCAGTCTGGACGTCCCATCACGGTGTCTCCTGCAGTTATCTGTTGCCGTCGTGTTCTTGGTTCTCAGGCTGCTCATTTGCATGTACAGCATGAACTGGGTGTTGTCTCTGGAAACAGTGAGTCTGCCCCCAACAGTCTGCGTTGTATTGATGACTTTCCCCACACCATGTAACTGTGACCCACTCCAGCCCCTTCCCTGAGGCCTGGCAAACGCAGTGACTCTCATAGCTACAGAAGGTGAATCAAGAGCTTCACAGGAGAGCCTCAGGGGCCCCTCTAAGCTGTACCAAGTCTCCCCCAGGCTCCGTAAGCTGCAACTCACACTGGACACCTGCAAACACAGATATTCTGGTTAGAAACTGTCACAGCTATGTAATGTTTCTTTCACGTGCTGAACCTCATGGTCCAAGGCCACCTTTGGGGGCCGTGGTCTACTGTGAGGTCATGGCACCTGCTCTGCCTTCAGGGGTCTGCAGCTGTGGGGAAGGATCAGGAGAGTGACTTCTTACTTTTTGCTCACCAGACAGTTTGACATCTTTAATTCTGTGAAAGCACCTGATGCTCTGAAAAAATACAAAAGTACACAGGTAAGGATTGACGAAAACAAAAACTAGCAATTACATTTTTAAAGTCTCATAAAAAATCAATGGCATTTGGATGTAATTTTCTTCAAAAAATTAAAGACAAATGTTGTAATACTGCTATTTTTAAATCATATGGTAATATATTCTTAACTAGCATATATACTGCCAGCCACTCTGTGTGTGTGTGTTTGTGTGTGTGTGTGTGTGTGTGTGAGAGAGAGAGAGAGAGAGAATACAGACAATAAGAGAAACTCTAAAAAGGAGATACATTTACATAAAGTATTATAATTTATAAGGTCTTTGAATAAGGTGGGAGATGTCATCTTTAACGGTCACATAAGGTGGAAACAACAAATTGCTGCACTAAATATGATTATACATCTATATAAATTCCATTTTCTAATTGTACTATGAACACACCTCAGCATAGGCACAGTGCAGAGTATCTAGTGGTGAAATGTGAGGGTGACAGGAAACCCATTCTCCAGCCTGGGCCCGGTCTTCATGGAGCCCGTGTGACCTTGGTGGTCCTGGGCCCCTCTCCAGGGAAGTTTGTGTCTGGGGTCACACTGGCATCTTCTACGTGTGTCTCTCACAGTAATACAGGTTGTGGCATTGTTAGTCACAGAGCTCAGCGGCAAGAACATTTGGTTTTTGGATGTGGATCTGGAGATGGTGACTGAGCCCGTGAGGAGGGGGTCAGAACTTGTGCCCCTCGTGACCTATGCCCCGATCCACTCCCTGGCCTGAGGACTGGCAGATCCAGCTCCAGCAGGAAGTGATGATCGTGCTGGAGAATCCAGAGACAGCACAGGTGAGGGAGGGGGTGTGGGAGGCCTCGCCAGGCCAGTAAATGACCATGAAGCATAGTGGTCTGTCTGCACATCGAAATTCCTACATACACACATTTTGGTAAGAATGAAGAATTTACTTTTGTTCAAATTCTGAGATTTCTAGACAATTCAGTAGATTTGGAGATTAAATTCAGGTACATATATGGTATACTTGCAATCAAATTTTTTAAAAAACTGCTTTCAAAGGAATGAACATTGAGCTATTTTCTTCTACGAGAAAGAGGGTGATTTTCAGAATAGAAGTGAAGCATGATACTCTAATAGTGTATTAACTCTGAAATCACAGTTAATTTTTAGCAGAAATCAGAGGCAGTGGAGGTCACCCCTCCTGAAGGAGAAAACACCTGAGTCTATAAACCTGACTTGGCGGTCTCTGCAGGCTCTGAGTGCACAGGACCAGCCCCCACCCCAGACTCAGGAACAGGGAAAGACTCCACTCTTTCTGTGGGGAGGTGAGTCTTAGCATGTGGAAAGGTCCAAACTTACTCCACTCTAAATCTCTGCACGTGGACAGAAACCAAAGAATATGAGAAACATGCGGACTCACTGTAGATGCAACAATTCCTCATGAGAAAGGCAAATTGGTGGTTGAATCCTACACAGAATTAAGGAAGAATGTAGGCCAGGTCATTGCAGAGATTCTCATTATTTGCCGACTGCGTGCCTGCTTCTCTACGTCTCTGGAGGGAAGCAAGTAAATTCGTGTTTTCTAGATAAAAATCCATAAACAGAGTCCTGTCCCTGATAACGCCCCCCCCACATTCCTCCAGCATTAGGAGCCCATGACCCGGCGCCAGCTGCTGCTCTCCGACGTCCATCACCGGGTTTGGGCCAAACACACACGTCCTGGGAGCTCCTCGCAGACACAGACTGAGCACACGTGGATGAAAAGGCGGGTGGCTGCGGGGCACACGGCCAGTCTCTGATGGGCTCCTATGGCTCAGGGGGGCCTGCTGGCCTTGCTGGACTTAGTGTGCACCTCATGGTAGTTAGGGAGCCCCATCGAACTCCCCATTTCCCCTTCACTGCTTGTGAAACGTGAACCTGCGCGGACAGTGTCCACAGCCTCACCCGGCCTCCTGCACACGTTTCTTTCTCCACCAGTGGCACCTGCCCTGGGGCATGTGGTCATGGCTCCTCCTGTAGTAATAAACTTCACAGACATAGACGCCTCAGTAGTAGGGACATAACTGTAAATACACAGACCCTCCTCGGGGAACCTTACGCTCAGAGGAAGCCACAGGCCCCGGAGGAGAGCAGCCCTTGACCTCCACCTGCACCTGCCCTGGGCAGCCCCTGTCCTCTGTGTATCCTGAGCGTCTCCTGCTGGTTCCAGGCGCCCTTGAAGGAGGTTTGTGTCGAGGCTCACACTGACTTCCCCTCACTGTGTCTCTCGCACAGTAATACAGGGCCGTGTCCTCGGCTCTCAGGCTGTTCATCTGAAGATACAGCGAGTTCTTGGCGTTGTCTCTGGAGATGGTGAATCGGCCCTTCACGGAGTCTGCGTAGTATTTTTCACCTCCATCATACCTTATGTTGGCCACCCACTCCAACCCCTTCCCTGGAGCCTGGCGGACCCAGCTCATGGCGTAGTCACTGAAGGTGAATCCAGAGGCTGCACAGGAGAGTCTCAGGGACCCCCCAGGCTGGACCAAGCCTCCCCCAGGCTCCACCAGCTGCACCTCACACTGGACACCTGCAAACACAGAGACATCCTGGTCAGAAACTGCCACACAGATTCAGCTTCTCTCACTCATATTCACATACATTCAACTCATATTCCATGAATCGCCTTTTAAAATAGCAACAAGGAGAACCCAGCAAAGCCCAAATTCCATGGTGAGTCTCCTTTTTCAGCCCTGAAAACTCTGGAAACACCTGTGAATCCTGGGGCTGGGCTCCTCTCCCAGAGCTGCAGGGTCAGGGCTGGGCTGCTTTTCATCAGCAGAGGGACAGCCCTATTTGCATGTGTCCTGCTATATAGCAAGCTCTGGGGTGGGACGCCTGAGGAGAGGGCAGGGCCCAGAGCAGGTGAGACTGTCCTGAGGGAGTTTGGAGATATTGATACCATTTTGGAAAATGTTGTGTCTTATTAAAAGTTTGTTCTGTGATATACTCTTTAAACCTATAACTGTATTTGTATTTTTAATTTAAATATAGTTTTATTGAGGCTCAACGGACCTATGAAAACTGCATACATTTAAACTTATCAGGAATCATTTTATCATGCTGTGTA